AATTACACAGTACTTAGGTATAATGAAAGGTTAACCTTGGTCCTAGTAAGATGATTGCCAGAGAAGTGCCTGGTTCATATATATTTGCTGAATGACTGCACAAGTTCCTTTTGATCAACTCGGTCCTATCTCTGATGTAGATGTCATATGGTGTTTTAGCTTGTAAATTATCTTGGGTTGTCTCAGAAGGAGACTGAGAATTTATCTTGAATTCAATTTATAAAACAAAGAAGCAAGCTGCAACTACAAAAAACAAAGAACAAGACAATGAGTTTCTCTGATTTTTCATGGCTTAATGTAATATAATGTAATCTATAAGAGCACAAGCAATGGTGGTTTCACCTCTAAGCTTAGTCAAGAAGAAATATCACCATTTCACCACTTTTTAGATAATACATTAAATTGGTTCAAGGCGATAAGGTCGTAGAAGGAGTGCGGTCTTTGAAGTCAGACAGATTATACAAAACTTATTCATGTTGTGACCTTGGAAAGCTAAATAGTCTCTTTGTCTATAAAGTTGAAATAATAACTCCAAATATCTCCTAGAATGGTGTATGAATTAAATGCTATAAAATACATGAAGCCCTGCACTTACGATCAGACATAGCTAATTTTTCAGGAGACTTCAGTTTCCTTTCTCCCTTTCCTGTGAGCATCAGCACGCTGAGAAATTCAATTATGGGAGATGAAAGGCAGTCAAGAAACACTCAATTTTTCCTGCTCTTATAAATCAAGAACGTATTTATGACTTATAATTTAGTATGCTTCCCGAAGAAAACAAAAACAACAAACACAAAAACTAGGAACCAAACCTCCCTGTTCTCTTGTATTAGCGTGACTGTAAAAGGCCTCCTGGCATGTTTAGTTTGCCACTTAAAGTCTGGCATTCCTGAGTCCTATGAGGAAGATGACAAAACACTCACTCTGCTTCAGGTATTGACATTCTAGTGAAGAACTGATATTTTCTATAGGATTATTACTCATCATGACTGAAGTTCAATAGATAAATTAAAAGCACAGCCACTCTTCAGCCCTGGAAGTGACTCACTTTTCAAGTAATGCTTTCGCATCACTTGAAGATGGGCTGAAAGATGCCCTGGATCAGAAATGCTCATTGTCAAAGGGGTCTCTGGCTCATTCCCAGAAGAATTTGTGGGTTGTCTAATAGAACTGCACAGGCATTTAGCTGAGTGCTTTCTGGAGCTTGTCCTGCACATTCCTGTAATTTGCACCAGGTCACTTGTTATCCATTTTAGCTGACTGAACAGTTTGAATCACGGGTGTGAAAAGGCAACTGAAGCAATAGTTAGCAAAGACCTTCCAGGAATATGCTATTGACATCTTGACCATGTGTAAGCAGGGTCATGAACTACAACCAGCTCTTCCCTTTGCAGATAACACACACAACACATACACACACACATTCACTGTTTAAGAACAACTATTAGTCACTGTGAAAATGGGCTTACGATGAGAATCTGAAAAAATATATATATAAGAAATCTAACCCTGAGCAGAAAATACTCCAACTAACTGAAAGCAAACACTTTGCAAACTCTAACGGGTCTCCAGCCTTGATGTGGATATTTTTGGCATTCTTTTTGAGATTGATTAAAGCTTAAACAGTTCAGTGTTGGTCTCTATCTATGCTATACTGCAAATGTGGTGTTCAGGTACTTATTTTCCAGTTTAGCATTTCAGTAATAGTCTGTTATTTTCTGCCTAGGTTGCTTTGTGACAATCTCATGCAGAATTTCCTCCTATGTGGTCTTTTCTCTTCTAGATACATCTCATTATCCATTTAAGAGTAATGAGATAAATATGTGCCATCAAGTGACTATAGGGGAGTAAGTGCCCAGCACAACCTTGCAAATAAGTGGTTGCTCTCTCACCTGGAGAGCTGTAAAATATGTCCACACTGGAAACATTTTAAGGTACTGGTCTTTTAAAAAATCTTTACTTACTATACAGTTCTCACAGGAGTTTTGTTAAAACTCTTCTTACCATGAATGCATGTGGGTGTTTATAGAAGTAAGAAAGTGAACATAAAATGGTTTTCCCATTGGGCATGTTTCATGCAGGTTATAGATCACAGCAGTGATCAGAAATGCTAGATTTCTGCAGGAAAAGGCAGTCACCAAGGTCAGAGCCTTAGGGAATGTTGGTGGGCAGCAGCAGTGGTATGATCAGAACAGCTGGTGGCTGCTGCCAGCAAGGGCAACCATTATTTTCTGGGCTTTCATTGCAAGGAAGGAGGGGTGGTAAGTCCCTATCTAGGGGGCCTGGCTGGCTCCCCAGGGTACGGGGATGAATCTGAGGCTCACTGTACAGTGTTTAGTATGAGCAATAGGACAGGCTGCAGCTGGGCCTTCCAGGCCCTCTGCTGTTGGTAGGTACTTCATTAGAGCAGGAGGTTAAACCTTTCATCCACAATTCAAGACACCACCCTTTATTTCTTTGCTCAAATGCCCCATGGAGTTTTTGCTGCATAGTCTATGGCATTCCCTGATCATCATGCACCCTCATCTGTGTCCAATTCTCTGACTCTTCCCTAGTTAAATTTGTGAAATGGAGGTTTGAAGCCAGAACAATACACATATTACAGTTTGGAAGTTTAAAAATAGTTATTCAGAAAATCTCTTATATCCTCTCTCTCCATCTGAGTATCATGGGAATTCAAATTTAGAGATTAGTTTCTCCTAAAATCAGGACCGATAGTCATGTTGCCGTAGCAACATTGCTAATGAAAGAGTTTCCAGGAGGCCCATTTGTCAAACTCTGTTCCAATCACAAGGGCTGGATTTATAAATTTCAAAGAGTGCTTCCTCCTCTATGGATTCATGTATTATTTTATAAGCAGGCATAAAACTATGTAACTGGATTAAAAAGTAATGAAATACTATGACTGGTAGGTTAGCTATTTGAGATAAATGAAAAACATCACAGTCATCATTGTACATAGCCAATGTTTTCTTTCTTGAGTTCATACTAGCTTGGGTGGCAAAACTTTTTCCAAATCCTGCCCATAGCCATGATATAAGAATAGACTCCAAATAACTGCCTGAAAACCAGAAAAAAAAAATGATACATTTAAACTTGTGGAGCTTTGGTAAATTGAATTCCAATCCCAGATTTTGACTTTGACTCCACCATCAGTTTGATGTTGCTAGTGAGTGTGTGACGCATTCTTTCAGAAATGCCACACTGGGGTGCAACAGGATATTGCTCTGTGAAATATGTGCTTTGGTTTGAAGATGGCAGGTTGAGCACACATTTTCCTTTTGGAAGTCCCCCCAAACCACTGGGGACAAGAAAAAGATAGACATAGTTAACCCATAATGAGAAGGGCAGGATGAGGACAAGAAGTGGATAACCAACGGATAAGAAAGTTCAGTGAGTTTAATGAATTTCTGGTAGATAGAGAAAGGAAATGAGTTGAAGGAAGGAAGCCCAGAACGTGGTACGGGAGGTAGCAGTGCCAGTGGGAGGAGACAAGAACACGGAAGAGACTCCAGGCTCCACATCAAACCATGGTATAAGTCAGGAGTAAGGGGCAGCAATTGAAGATAATCTCAAGGAACAACTACACAGGTGGGTTCCACAGCTCTGCATGCAGAACAGCAAGACGCCTAGGACTTACCCCTAAGCCAAACTAACCATTCAACTAATCAGCAAAAACAGAGGGCTGTTTTCTACAACATATATGAACTCTGAGAAAAAGTTAAGGTTCTAGCTGTGTGTTTGTGCCTGTGGTAGACCTACAGCCTAGCAGAGGCTGGCCCTTCATTCTTCTATAGCAAAACAGTCACCCACATGGTTCAACCATTTGAACAGGCTTCCCAATCGGAATTCCCTCAGGGAGAGAGACAGTGGAACTTTTGGGATGCAGATCTACTTACACAGCAGCAGAGGAAAGCCATACTAGTCACCCAGGTTTTTGCTGTTCCATATGAATGAGCACCTTCAGCAGCAGGGCAAAACCCAGCCGTGTGGAAAAGACCAAGGGTACCCGAATCAGCTGAGATGCATTCAACTGCAAGTAACAGAAAACCCAACTGAAATTCACTTGAGCAAGGAGGAAGTTTATTTTCTCATATAAAGAAGAGTCTGGAGATAAGAGGGCTCTTAAATGGAGTAGCTCAGGAGTGTCATCAAGGACTTGAGGTTTCATCTTTCTGTTCCACTGTGGTCAGCATGCCAGTGATTTCTTTCCTCTGGTTACAGATGGCAGCGGGTATTACATGAAGAAGAGTGCCAGATTTTTTTTTTTTTTTAGCATGTGTCGCTTATTATTAGTGAGAGTACCTTTCCCATAAGTGTCTCAGGAGATTTCTCTCAGGTTACATTGGATCTCACAGTTATGCCTATACCAATAAAACTAGAGATGGAAACGAGACTATTGTGATTTTTCTAGACCAGGGCTTCTCAATCTTGCCATGACTGACATTTTGGACCAGATAATTCTTTGTTGTGGGGGCTGTTCTGTGCAGTGTAGAATGTTTAACAGCATCCTTGGCCTCTGTCCACTACATGCCAGTTGCACCTTCCCCTGTTTTGACAATGCCAATTGTCCCCTGGAGGCAAAATCACTTCCATTCTTCCATTTTAGAACCATCACCCTATGGTAACCCTCAGATCTCTGGAATCTGTACTAATAGGAAATGCACTGCAACATTGTACTTCATTCTGGAGGGGCAATGCTTTCACCAGTCTCAAGTGGGCTGCGGAAGACAATGGTCAAGAAAAAGACTCCCAGAGAGCAGAGCCAGGGCAGGAGCAGGCCCCGGGGAGCTTCACAGAGAGCAGAGCCAAAGATTGTCTTTGCTATAGCGGGATTTAATGTAGGAGTCTAACAGTGACCTCTGTGAATTTCCCATTCTACCATTTCTTAAATGAGTGGGTATTTGTCTTGTTTTGTTTCGGTTTTAGTTTTACTGGTTTTGTTTTTCAGTTCTTCTTTATCTTTTTCTCCATTGTATAACATGTGTATTTTTTCTTAGCCATAGGATCATCTGACTCCAAGGAACCCATCTACACCTAGCAGAGAGGATAAACCATCACTTAGAGATTGAGGCAGCCACTGAACGAGATTCTGTGGTGGTCTCTCTTGTAACAGGTGAGGCATGATGTTCCACTAGCATATATGAATATTGAGGAACTAAAGGGAGGACTTTGGTATACCCTATAAATTGGGTTACTCAATGCTTACTTCCAATCTCCTTCACTGTTACTTGTCTTTACTATAAAGGTTAGAAATGTAAATACTTACCAAGCCACCTACACAGCTCATGGTAGCCATATGACACAGTTCTGACCAGTAAGACACAAACAGATGTATGGAGGGAACTGTTCTAGGGAAAACATTTGCTTTATGGATAAAGGAAACAGATGCAGTTGGCCCCAGCCCTCCCTTCCCTGGATCACAGATGTAATTCCTAGAACTGCAGTCATCTTGCAACCATGGACAACAAGCCAATGTGCAAAGGATGGCAGAGTGGGAAGATAAAGTCTAGATTTTTCATAACGTCATTATCCATTGTATCAGTTCTGGATTGCCTGTCTCTGGACTTAATGATAGTTGAGTAAATTAAATCCATGTTTGTTTAGGACATTATAAATCAAGTATTCTGTCACTTGAGACTGAACAGCAACTGATTAATAAGGAAAGGAGGAAGGGAGGAGTGAAGAATAGTTATGCGAATAGCCTCATCTTCCAAAGGGGAGAATTGATATACTGACTTCTGTCACTGGAAATTGGTCTGTGGTAATATTTGGTAATTCTCCACCTATGCCCACCTTTTTTGTTTGTTTGTTTGTTTTTCATCCTGCAATCTTCTCCCCATTAAAAACAGTATGTTAGGCTGAAGCATTCTGGGCTTATTACCTAGATTCTAAGTGTGCTTTTGAAATTCATCATCTTGAAATCCAAAGGCTTTTGATTTACAGGGGAAAGAAATATGTCATTGAATCCCAAAAGCTTGGTTTTGAGAATCTAAAGAAGGATCTAGGAAGGAATTAGGGAATAAAGGTTGGTTTGCCCAAGGTGAGGAAGGAGGATGGAGGTTGAGATTGAGATGGTCAGAGGGAAAGTCAGTACTTAGGGGGTTGCCTGGGCTCAGCCCCACCATCTGTCCCTACCCCTGGGGTGGGAGAAGGTAGGTTTTCAAAAAGTGAGAGTAGAAAGGAGCAGTACACTCTTCTGTGGGGGGCGGCAAGCTAAACAGAAAGCCTCACTGAAGTGCCACCACCTGCTAACAGAATGATGCCAGAGCTATAAAATGGGAATTATAGTGGGGCAGGCCAAGGCACAGGAGGCCTGAGATGACCCTGCTGGGATCCCTGTGTCCCCATGGTCATAGAAGAGAGTTGGAAAAGTGGTTCATGCCCCAAAAAACGGTCACAGAAGGGTTAAGATGGTTATTGGATCTGAAAGGGATCTCTTAGCAGAAAATGGACAACACAAACCACATGGACTAATAACCAGAGCTCATGGTGGTGCCTTGAACCACTCAGTGGATGTTCGCAGTGATGCTAATGACCAAAGATCAGGAGATGCCCAATAGGACGGGGTCAACCATAGACTAGCAGCCTACCTGCCCCCAATGATTTGGTACCACATAAATCCCCTGGACAAGACTTGCCCTCCCAGGAAAAGTGGGTGGGAAGGGAGGAATTAGATCCAACTCCATACAGTTTAAATGTAGAATGACTGAGTCCGCTTGGAATCAACAACGATTAAGGTTTCTGCCAGCTGGTGAAATGTGGTCTTTCAGTTACATAAAATAAAGAAAGTTAATCCTTTTTACACCCAAGAACATGGCTTGAGAAAATTGAACCTACATCATAAGAAATTGAGGTGTAAGTATATTATTTAAAGTAATTAAAGATAAACAAGCAAAGAAATAAAAATGATAATACATCAAATGTTATAAGGAGGAAGAGGTGGGAGAAGAGAGGATGGTTGTATATGTTAATTAAATCCTCATCTTTCATTTCTGGGAGACAACAGGCTAAATATAAATTTGATACATTCAGAAATCTCATGTGCATATTATTTAGTATTTTGAAGATAACAAGCTTAAGAATTAAAAAACAGAAACAGTTAACAGGTTGTTTCTTGGGAGAGGGAGTGTGGGTACGTAGGAGACCATTTCTTTCCATCATAAATTGTGTTTTGCTATTTGATTTTTTTTTCTTACAATATACCCATGTTACTTTTATTTAAATTAAACTAGGAAAAAAATAATCATGAGCCTGTGCGTGTTTGTTTGTGCTATATGCTGCAGTGATTCATGCTAACAGAATATGCATGCTAAAGATAAAAATACCTCTGAATAAATGTTCTGAGAATATGGAATACTATGCACTAGAAAGGCTTTACAGATCTCTGCAGGAATTCCCAGGGTCTACGGGCAAACAGGGCAACTGCCAGAACAATGGGAAATAGACGCGATGGGGCAAGAGACAGGGGAAGGACAAATCACATGCAGAGTTTAGATGGGAAGGCTTTTCAAAACAGTTATTGTGATTGTATCAAAGCTTGTGCCATGGTGATCAGAGTTTTGGGAGGATAAATTTGGAATTTGGATTGTCTTCTGTGAAATATAGAGGGAGAGATTCTTAAGGTCTACACACACACACAAACACACACACACACACATGTTGGGTTTAGCTTTAGCTCTAGTCCACCAATCATCATCTTTTCTCACTTAGACCTTGGGTATTGGGAGCACAGTTAGAGGCCTCAGAAGTAATAGTCTGTGACAAACCCATGTCCCCTTATAAGCAGAGGACTGACAGACAGAGAGTCGGGAGTTATGACTGAAACCCGAAGTCATTTGACTTGTGTTTTAAACAGATGATGGTTCGTAGGAGGAAGGACTGTGAATTATAGGGGTCTGGGAAGCAGCCCAGCAAATCCTTGTAGTGGTGTCAAGCATGTGACCCCTTGTGCAATAACACTGAGATCACTTTGTCTTCTTTTTTTTGCCTGGGTGGCCTTTGTACCCACAACCCTGGTCAACATCCTTCATTATCTTCTTGAGCTAATAGAACCAAAAGAGTAGAGATGCATTCTGGGACAGGTGAATTAGTGGTATGAGGAGCAACACCAAATTCAGGCAATACATGCAAAGTACCACTCAACATGTGAAAGAGGCTAGTTAGGGCTATGTAATATGTTGGATCACAAATCAGTTCAGTTGGTTTAGAGCTGGTAGAAACAATTAATGGGATTAGTTAAACATCTCAGCCTGCCACTTCCTGAAAGTATTTGCAGAACTCAAAAAACCACAGAATGAATGGAGATATTTATTTTCTAAAAATGGTTTTAGTCCATGGCACCAAAGTTATAATCATGCTGTTCCACAACTATATTATGGTCCCACCAAAGAAAAATTCTCTTCATGTGGCCATAGAGAGGTGAATAGGAGCTTCTGGTCTCTCACCGTGCAATTTTGCTTTCCCAATAATACTATTCTGGAAGCATTGGGGGTAGATTGCTTTTGCTAGAATGCAATACCTGAAAACTGGCCTTTGCTTTCTGGCCATTCATCTGACCACCCAGGAGAGAGCTTATTCAGAGCACACAATACAGAAAGAAGCTTAACCAAAATCAAACTCCATACACATATTTTATGCCTACAACAGGGTGCTCTGGTCGAAATTCAACTCTAGGATATTTGAAGTCTTGATGTGTAGGAGTTGGAAAATCTGTCATTTGAAAACTGCCAGCAGTTGTCTAATTCAGTGGAGGCATTAGAACTCCTCTTGGAGGAAGATGTTTCTTTCGTTCTGGGTGAACCACCTGAATTGGGCTGCTTAGTCTCCTAAAAGGTAATACACCTACCTCTTTTCCGTCAACTTGAATTCTTTCCTGGAAATCCTGGCTTTCAGTGAAAAGCTGTTACATGAAAAATATTTCCATTAATTGCCATGAATTTTGTCCTCACCTGAGGTTCTCAAAAAATTTTCTCACAGAGAGAAATACAGCAGTTGGATAGTGAAAACAAGATTAAATTGTTAACAAATAATTTTTACAATGTACATGGACAGAATTTGCCCATAAACTGTAATGTAATAGAGGATTGTAATCTTTTTTTTTCTTGCACCATTTACTTCACCAGTTTTTCCACCATTTTAGGACTCATGGTTATCTTGCAGTCAAGCTGCATTTAAAAATAAATTTGAGCACAAATATCTTTAGGGCAAAATAAAGGCTAAACATGAGAATGCTTTGGGAGATAGTGCAAGGGTACAATAAACTGAAGATTAGTGGAAGAAATAATGGGAATTGAGGTTGAAAGGAGAAAGAAGGAAGGGTAGATTGTAGAGCAGGAGAATATATTTGTGGTAATGCAATCTTGGGAAGAAAATTAAAGTAAATTCTTGCTAGAAGAGCATATCTTTAAGATGTCTGTAGGGAAGATTTAAAGGAATCTAAGTATCTATTGGTGAGATGTTTTGAGTTTTCATTTCTCTTTCTCTGTGTATGTCCACAAAGCAAAACATTCAAACATGTACACAATTCAGATTCGTTCCAGATGACATTCTCTAACTTGAAACTATTGGCCTGGGTAAATCAGTGAATTTATTGCTTGAACATATAATTTCAGAATATGACTTCTTATGTCTCATTTATTTAGAATGTTTTGGGATATAAAAGTCATCACAGTCAAAAAAGGAGTATTGCAAGCAGAATAATGGCCGCCCCAAAGATGTCCACATCCTAATTCCCCAAACCTGTGAATATGTTACATCACAGGCAAAAGAGACTTTGCAGATGTGATTATGTTAAGGATCTTGAGACGGGAGGATCATTCTGGACTATCTAGGTGGGCCACTGTAATCACAAGGGCCCTTACACGTGGGAGGCGGGGGCATAGGAGAGGCAGTGTGTGATGATGCAAGCAGAGGTCAGAGCAATGCAAGCAGGGGACCACGGGACTAGGGCAAGGACAGGTGATCTCCAGAAGCTGGAGGAGCAAGGAATGCAGTCTTGCCATCCTATTTCAGACTTTTCATCTCAAAAATTTTAAGATAATAAATTTGTGCTGTTTTGAAGCCACTATGTTTGTGGAAATGTGTTATGGCAGCAATAGGAGCTACTACAAGGGGTCATTGTTTGAAAGTGGTGTAATTGTCAAGAGCCATTATGGCAAACTTATTAATTTGACAGTCCTTGTGAGATGTAGGTCTGTGCCCACCCGTTGTTCTAGAGGACCAGGCTGAAATCAGCACTATCCCGGCTGTAGATGTTTGAGACTGAGGAAATAAATGCCTATGTTGGGAGCATCCGTTTCTGAATTCAGCTTCGATAGAAATAAAAAAAAAAATCACTTCTTGTTCTGTATGAATCGAGTTGGCATTATGCCTAAAGTACTGACTTTCCTTGGGGTGGAAATTCTGTTGTTTTTATTTTGGTACTGCCATGTATAGTGTCCCCTCAAAATTCATATGTTGAACCCCTAACCCTGATGTGATGTTATTTGGAGACGGGCCTTTGGGTGGTAATCAGGTTAGGTGAAGTCATGAGGGTGTAGCTTTTTGGTGGGATTAGGGCCTTAAAAGAAGAGACACAGAGAGCTTGTTCACTCCCTGCCAGGTAAGGAACTAGCAAGGTGGGCCACCTGCAAGCTAGGAAGAGGCCCTCACCAGAACCCAACCATGCTGGGACCCTGGTCTCAGACTTCCAGCTTCCCAAACTGTGACAAAATAAATTTCTGTTGTTTAAGCCACTCAGTCTATGGTATTTTATGATGGCAACCCCTGGCTGACAGAGACAGATCTGAGAAGAAATGGAGAGAGGGTGTAGGGCTTGATTTCTGTATGGCCCTGGTGGTAGGATCCAGCCCAGCCAAGACGGAGCAGAAGAACAAGGTTGGGAAGAGTTGTTATTTCCTGAGAAGATCCGGGTGGCCCCTTGTGGTAGGGGCTGGAGTTTGATTATCTCGCAGACGCGACAGGCAGAGATTCCTGGTCTCCAGTGCACACTCACCTTCTTCCAGTCATTCAGTCAAACACTTTCCAGCTGCTGCTGTGGAGGGATTTTTGTGGATGTGATTAAACTCCCAACTCAGTTGATGTTGGAGAGCCCTGGGTGAGCCCAACCTGGTCAGATCAGCCATTAGAATCTGGGTCTGGAGGTCAGAGACAGATGAAGTCAGTGATTCAAAGCACAAGAAGGACATGACACACCATTGCCAGCTTGAAGGTAGAGGAGGCCACATGCCAGGGAATGTGGGTGGTCTTGAGATGCTGAGAGCAGTCCCGGCTGATGGCCAGCAAGGAAACAGGGACCTCAGATCTACAACTGCAAGAAACTGTTCTGCTAGCAGCCTGAATGGTTTGGAGTCAGAATGAATGCCTTGGAGCCTCCAGACAAGGACTGAGCCCAGACAACACCATGGTTTCAGCCTTGCAAGTTCCTGAGCAGAGACACAGCCGTGCCACGCCAAACTTCTGACCTACAGAACTGTGAGCTAATAAATGGGTGTTGTTTTAAGCTGCTGCATTTTTGGTAATTTGTACTCGGCAATGAAAAACTAAACTATCGGTCTGTACTGTTCTGGTTCCTCCAACTCTGGATGCACAGACTCCAGCTTTTCTAGGATTGAGACTCAATTAAATAGTGAAACTTTTACGTGGAGCCACACATTCATGAGAGGGTCCCACTCTGCCCAGCCTTTGAGATAAACCATACCTAAAATAAATTTTGGAACCCTTGGAAATGGCCCTTAGAGCCTTGGAGCTTTATAAAAGACTATTCATCCTGCATTGAAGCATATGGACTCAGACCTTTATAATTTTGCTGTTAAAAAATCAGTGTGGCTCCATTTCTGTCCACAGGCTAGGCTATTTTAGTTAAATATAAAAATTGCCTAGCTAATCAAACTTTAGGAGGTGATTACCATTGTAGACTATTTCTGAGAATTACCTTTTTTAAAAAAAATTTCTAGCTTAAGAAAAAGAACCTGCTGATTACTTTCCTAAACAACTAGAAATTTAAAAAATAGTTTTGAAAGCTTTTTTCTGCTATCAGTCTGCTTGGTAAAGTGTGCCTTTAGTAAGTATCAGTGTATTTAATTCAATTTGGCAAATATTTAGTGAATATTCTATTTTCTTTTTAAAAATTTTGTCTAAGTAAATTCATGGAAACATTTTTCCTACTGCACAAATCAATCCCATTTTAAAAAGTCTATTAAAAGGCTGTTATGTAAGGCACTATGAGATTCACTACAGTAGATTTAAACCTGACCCAAAGGAGAAGATACCATATATCTTCCAGGGGCGTGAAAGATTTGTTGTCGGAGTCAGAACATCAAACGCAGATTGGCTTACACAAAATTAGGAATTTATTGACTTAACTGAAAAGTACAAAATTAGGCCTGGCTCAAACTACTGTTTTACCCAGAGGTTCAAAATATCACAATTTCTCCACGATTATTTTAGCTCATGTTTCCTCTTTTTTTCCAGATTTATTTTCAGGCTGGCTGTCATCATGCTAGCAACATGACTTCTGTGATTCTAGACCTCACACCCTCACCACCACATCTGAGAAAGGGAGGAATGTCTTTTTGGCATTCTTTTGGAAGACAATGGAGGCTCCTATTCTCAAAGCTCCTGCCAATGTCTCTTGTGCCTCATGGGCCTTAATTGGGTCATGTCTTTTTCCCTGGACAAAATATCGAGACTCTGGGATAGAGGAAGGGAGGAGGTAGGAAGCAGTCGATTGGTTTATGTTCCACTTGAAAAGGAAGGAGAAGTAAATTCCACCCAAACTACATGGCTGAGAATAGGAAAGGAGCAGTTGCCTGAAGAAAAATGTGGGGGCTGTTGGAGGGAAGAGGGGAATCAATATATGTCCACGATAGTAGAGTAAAATAAATAGAGTAAGAGAATCACAAAATACTCGGATGCTATGGTGTCAAAAGAGAGGAAGGCCCAACCTTTTATCGGGGTTTGGGGGATAAGAGAAGATTTCATGAAATAGTTGTTATTTGCCTATATTATCCTTCAAGATTCATCTCAGAGAGGGAATAAAGATATCCTCAGAAGTAGGAACATATTGGCAAAAGCAAAGAGGCAGAAAAGTGTGGAGCTATATGATGGTGACACTAATTAATCTAGCATGACTACAAGACAAAATGTTGGGAAACAGCTGAAAAGGGAAGTTGGAGCCTTATTGAGAAGGGCTTTCTCTGAATTCCAGCAGGAGGACTCAGCTTTAATTTAGAGGCCAGTGGAGACTCGTTGATAGTTTTTGAATAGGGGAGAGACATAACGAAATATATATGCCCTTTGGAAATATTAATCTGCTTGCAGTGAACTGGATGAATTGCAGCAGAGAGAGACAAAATTTTGAGAGCTCAGTTAGGAAGCTATTGCAGTACCCCAAGGAAAAGCAGTGAAGTAGCGTGGCAGTTAAGAAATGGAAGGAGGTGATGAGATGATGTAGACTCTTCATGGTTTGCTAATAAATTAGCAGTAAACAGTTAAGGAGGAGGATGAGTAGTGACATAAAGCTCTGATGCCAGATTATCAAGAAAGTGATATCATTCATGAAAATGGGGAGCATCAGAAACACAAGGGTTTAGAGAGCTACGAACTCCACTACTAAGGAGAGGTAAAGATTACAAGCCCCCATGGCACGTGATCCTCAATTGCTTGAAAGTGTAAGGTTCCCTCTGCTATAATTCACCCCTTTTATGAGCAAACGTAGTTAACTATTTTTTTTTGAGACAGAGTCTCGCTTTGTTGTCTAGGCTAGAGTGAGTGCCGTGGCGTCAGCCTAGCTCACAGCAACCTCAAACTCCTGGGCTCAAGCGATCCTCCTGCCTCAGCCTTCAGAGTAGTTGGGACTACAGGTATGTGCCACCATGCCCGGCTAATTTTTTCTATATTTATCAGTTGACCAATTAATTTCTTTCTATTTATGGTAGAGACAGGGTCTCGCTCTTGCTCAGGCTGGTTTCGAACTCCTGACCTCGAGCAATCCACCCGCCTTGGCCTCCCAGAGTGCTAGGATTACCCGCGTGAGCCACAGCGCCCGGCCCGTAGTTAACTATGACCTTTCTACCATAACAATTCATAAGCAGACCCATAACCCAGAGGGAGAATCACAGGCTTTCAAAAGTGTTGGGGTTGAACGGGTTCAAATGATGTCCATGTTTCCCTAAGCAGTGTCAGAATTGACCCTCTAGAGTCAAGTGAGCAAAGATCAAAATATTAACTTTAGTGCTGAGAAAACTGTACAAAAGTGAGGCTTAGTGTGAGGGTCAGATGGCCTTCCTCAGGCTGTCCCCAAGAACCAAAACAACTTGCTGCTTTACAGTCAGTGTTTGGGATGCAAGTTTTCTCCTGCAGGGATGCAGGCTCTAAATAAAAACTTACCGCTCATGCTAAGCGTGTGACACTTTCTCTATGGGCAAGCAGATGCCAAAGAAGAGAAGCACACATCAGCCCAATTCTTTCATTCCTCTTCCCCAGGGAAGAAACAGTGAGAGGAGTGGAGGGAGGCCTGGGGTTTTACTTCCAGATGTCCCTCCAGGTGGTGTGGCAGACACACGTTCCTCACCCCTCACCGCCAGTGGGGACTCTCCCAAGACCTTGTGTAGAATTTGTCTTCCTGTTCTTCATCATCAAAGCCCAGGGTCCCTGATTTGTGATGGCCCCTGCCTTACCCCTGGCTCTAGCTTGAGAGAGGAAGCCAGATCAGGTAAGTTTCCCTGTGCTCACCTAAGGAGCTAGGAGGATTTTAATCTATGGGGTGTTGTTTCACTCTGGTGACAATGTGAGGAATGGCACTTGGTGGAGAGGCCAGGAGAAGATGGGGCTGGAATCTGGGGGAAGGGTGATGAGGAGATTCACTGATGCCTCGACTCTGGGGCTGGAGATAGGTAGATAAAGATGTGGGCCATTTAAGAGGAAGAACTGCTCTTTTCCGGTTATTGTGGCACGAAAAACCATGAGTGGTAAAGTCTCTCGCTACACCCTGTACGAGTTGGTGCGGGAAGTCCTGCACGGGAACCAGTGGAAGCGCCACAAGTTTTTGGAGATGGTGGAGCTGCAGATCAGCCTAAAGAACTATGATCCTCAGAAGGACAAACACTTCTCTGGCACCATCAGGCTTAAGTCCACCCCCCGCCCCAAGTTCTCCGTGTGTGTCCTGGGGGACCAGCAGCACTGCGATGAGGCCAAGGCTGTGGACATTCCCCACATGGACATTGAGGCACTGAAGAAACTCAACAAAAGTAGACTCTGGTCAAGAAGCTGGCCAAGAAGTATGATGCCTTTTTGGCCCCAGAGTCTCTTACCGAGCAGATCCCACCAATCCTGGGCCCAGGCCTAAATAAGGCTGGCAAGTTTCCTGCCCTGCTGACACACAATGAAAACACGGTGGCCAAAGTTGATGAGGTGAAGTCCACAATCAAGTTCCAGATGAAGAAGGTTCTATGTCTGGCTGTGGCTGTTGGGCACGCGAAGATGACAGATGATGAGCTGGTGTGCAGCATCCACCTGGCTGTTGACTTTTTGGTGTCATTGCTTAAGAAGAATTGGCATAATGTCTTGGCTTTATACATCAAGAGCACCATGGGCAAGTCCCAGCACCTGTATTAAGGCATAGTCTAATAAATCTTAATGCTGCCAAAAGAAAAAAAAAAGGAGGGCTCTTTTTTTGTTGTTGTTTTGGCTTATAGATGATTATCTTCTTCCTGTGTCCTTACATTGTCTTCCTTCTGTGTGATTCTTTGTCCTGATTTTCTCTTCTTAATTACTTCTGTAAAGACCCTATCTCCTGAAATGGTCACATTCTGAGGTACTGGGAATTAGAACTTTAACACATGAATTTGGGAAGAGGGTTCACAATTCAGACCATAACAGAGAGAATGGTATTCCTTGACGGTCTTAAACTCTATCAACAGCCCCTCCTTAAATACATTCTCTTACATGATTTTGTGGCAGATCCCCCCAACTCCATTTATTTCAATGCCAAGAACTAGGAAAATTTTAATGAGGGCATTGTTTAGTTTCATTAAAGAGAAACCAGGGCAGAGATGCTCACAGGCTGGATCCCAGCAGCGGAGGTTTTCTAGGCTGTGTGTCATCCAGAGCCAGAGAATGTTAAAGCAGGGCCTGGTGAGATCCTGGCCCCTGATAATTAAAACGATGGTAAGTCTTCCCTCAGTGTGGAGCAATGAGATCATCCTACCACAACCCTGCAGACTTTATGATTTGCCAAAGTATTCAAGGTTAACTCTGTGCATAAATTTATGTTCCCCACTAATTATGAGGCCATAATCCAGGCCCATGTTTCTTTAGTAGCTTTGTTCTCTGATATTTCCCCCACCAAGTTTGAGCTTGAATAGTTTTCCTAAGGGAAAGTACCCATCCAGAGCGATGACTGATTTTATGGAATTTTGTTAATATCAAACACAATTGAAGACTGTCATTTAGAGCTTTGTTTCAGGGACATAAAACCTTTAGGCAGTGCCACACAATGAAGGGAAGAAATGACAGATCTGCAGTGATGAAACACTTTTCTTGATCAGTGTGATTGTATTAGAATGCTCTACTTGGATATATTGATTTGTCTTTGAGAGTGCTTTGGGCAACATAAATCTCATAGAAATATCTTTGAGGAGCTGCCCCAGAAGGCCACTGCTTCCCTCCTCAGCAAAGAGAAAGCAAGCCAGGGAATCATTTGTCAAAGTTTCAAAGAGAATGGTCCATTTATGGACTGACACTGGATGGTTTCCTATATGCCAACATTCGTGGGATTTAAAAAAAAAAAAGATGCATTTTATGATTAACCTCCACACATACAGAAGAAAAGAGCTATATTTGTCTCTTTTGACTTACTTTAGCAATGTGATTTTTTAAAAAATAATTACCTTCAAGGGGAATCATATTTATTATAGCTCAAAAATTCCATTTATATGCACCATTGTTCAGAGCAATTTCTTTTTTCCCTACATTTAATGGGCAAGTGACCATTTATTTTCTAGATTCATTCATGCTTTGGAAGATTTGGCCACCCATGGAAAAGAACATTCTCAAGAGCATTTGTATCCCTCTTCTTATTTAAGAAAATAAGTTTTGAACGGATTATAAATTAATTGAAAAATATTGATTAAAAATGCCTCACTTGCTCTATACTCTGGGACATATAACTTCACTTTTCCAATTTTTAAGAGCTATAATGAAAAGAACATTGATGTATGTTAAGATTCTCTCTCTTTTGAATTGAGTGAACTTGAGAAAATTTGTGAATTGAAAGTTTGCTTCCCTCCCCAGCCCCCTCACGCCCTGCCACCATGAGTATTTGTGATGTTTATGTTACTGAGGATATAATATTAGAGGAGGGGGGATAGTTTTGTACATTATTTAAGAGCTTGTATTTCAAGCCAGTCTGGCTTGGTAAATCTGTCGCTTGCTGGTTGGATGATGCTGGACGTGGGACTTAACCCTCTAAATATCAGTTTTCTTACCTGTGAATGAGGCATAATAATTGATCCTTACCTCATGTGGTTGTTTTGAAAAAGAAATGAAATAATTTATAAACATATTTGTAAAGTGCCCACCCACTTAAAAATGTGAGATCATTGACATCATCATCATCATCATCATCATCATCATCATCTCACCATGAAAATAAGAAATAACCATTAACTGGCTTAATTATTTTACTTTCCTGAATATAATAAGACATGGAATCAAAGGAGAAGTGAAATCCATAAAATTCAAACTCTGTTCTGGGTAAGCTGTGTTGATTTATATTATTTGAAGAACATATCTTTGAACATCTATGTTCATATATATACACATATATTTATAAAGAAATATATACTTATATATATAAATGTAAAAAGGTATATTTATACTCAGTCATAATTTCATAGAAATTTAAAATAACAACTTGAAATGTGTTGACCAAGATTTTATATTTAATATTAAAACTATACTTCACATGCAAAATCATTTTCTAAATAAAAAAATATTTAGTCACAAGTGCAAAATTGGAATGAGATTTAATAATCTCCCTTAGGAACTGATTTTAAGGTTTAAACTGTGCTTTTATGAACACTGCATTAAGAACTCCTAAATCCTTCTTATAACGTCTTCATATTTAAGCTTCAGCAGAGAAAGAGAGGAGCTCACCATTCTCTCACTTATTTAAAAATATTCTTGGATTTAAAAATATTAAGAGCTTCTGCTTGAAGATGACAGCATAAAGATAATTGTACTAAGCTGTACTCTCTAATATTAACTGAAAGCAACACAAATTCTAACAAAAGAGTCCATCTTTAATGAATTCAGAAGACAGACACAACGTCAAACTATGAAGAATTGCTTCTAAATATAGGGACATTTGGCCCCAATTCCAGAGGATGCCAAAAATGGATTCACACTGGACAGTCCAGGCACACCCTGCAGGGTTTTCCAAGGTGGCACAGCTCCAAAGGATTTTTCCAGTTATCCCTTACTGGGAACCATTATTCCACAACCCATGCTGAGGAACTGCAGCCCAGATGGGACTGGAAGGAGAAAAATTCGTTAACTTTGCAGGAAACGGGCTGGGGGCATATAATGGGCATAACAGCACTAATAACAATATGGACAGTAACAATGGCTGGTATTTATTAAGTGCTTACTCTGTGCTAGGTAGGCACTGATTTCAATGGCTTATATGTACCAACTCGGTTAATCCCCACAGTAACTCCATGGTGAGGGTACTGTCATTATCCCAGTTTTACTAGTCAGTTACAGAGCCTGTATTCCAATACTGAGCCTGTCCTTTTAATCTCCACACCCTGCTGCATTTCTGGGGTACGCATGGAGTCATCTTTGATCAGTGGATCAACACAGTTGAGGAGAATGAAAATAAATGCCAAGTCACCATAGAGAGGACTTGAGCCTTCTGGGTCTTCACTGTGAGCCACAAAAACTTTCCTCTCACTCCCAGAAGGAACGTGGGGTACTGGGAGGAGAAATGTCCTTGGAGCAGAGTTGGTGGAAAGTCACCTGAGGCAGTATCACTCCTGTGGACTTGGCTGTCTCCCTCTTTCACGCTTCTTACAACTCTTGAGCAGAAAGCTGAACAAGATGGAGCTGTCCTCATTTAAAATGAGTCACAATTAGAAGGAAACTAGTGTAGACTAATGTATGGGATATTTGAGAGACAGAGAGCAAAAAGGACCAAAAAAAAAAAAAAATCAGGTAGGGTGAAGGGAGGGAAAAAAAAACAACAAAACAAAGGCAAGTGGACAATACACATCAAAATATGAATTAAATCATCAAGTGAGTAAAATTTCAAACACTTTACACAGAGCACAGAATTAATAGGTCTACACCCACCCTCCACCAAAAGATTTTAATGCTAAAAAAATTGCTGCCATAACATAAGACTTGATTCTGTGATTTGAAGGTGCATACCATGTTGAGAACACAGAACCTGATATGGACTCAGAAGTTATAATAGTATCTATTGCATAGTAGATGTTCAACTAATACTTGTTGAGTAAATGAATAAAAGCAAGCCAGAAAAATAAGAAGTAAGTCACCTCTATCAAGAGAAAAACAAGTTGGTATTAAATTTCATAGCAACAATGCTAGAAAATGGAGATGCAATTATCACAAAGTCTTTGGGGAAAGAAAGTGTGTTCTAAGATTTTTGTACTCAGTTAAATGTAATTCAGGAGTATGGAGAATAAACAGATTATTTTGACATACAAAAGAACTCAGGAAATATGATACATCTTAGCTTTTTTATTTTTTGCAAAATAAATAAATGAATGAATGAATGAATGAATGAAAAATCTGCTTTACTACAAAATCCAGCTGACCAAGAGATAAGAGGTAAATAAAAACGTAGAGCTCAGGACTAGCAACTGAAAATACTGATGTGAGTGCTGAAACTATTTAGATGCAGCACAATGACAAAGTAACTGGAATTATGGCATTCAAAGATAATGTGAAGGTTATACATTTTAACAGCATAGAAATAATGATCTTAGTATAACAGTCAGGAGGTCGGAAGGAAGCAGAGATGGGAGGAAGTATATGTCTTCTCATTTCCCTTTGTTTCATTATGGAGCTTGAGAAGTTCTAACGCTGATAATTCAAATGATAAAGGCTTACGTGTGTTATTTTAATGCATAAAGAAAACACCAGAATAATCTAAAATAGCAATACAGCCAACCAAGTCAGTGTATGGAGGGGTGTATAAATTTGGGAGGAAAGGTATGTATGATAATTTCCTTACCCCCTTAGAGGAAGTTTGTGGATACTGTTTAAGGTTGACAAATAAATTTTAAAAGTTGTTTAAATGTATTATTCAAAAGTATAAAATTAAAAAACTAAAAATTTATTATAAACATAAAACCACACAAAACAAAATAGAGAAGTCCAGATCATATAGGGAAGCATAGAAAACAATGGAAGTATTAAAAACATGAAACATAACGTAAAATGTAGAGTTAAGACTAAAGGTATTATCAGATTGATAAATGTAAATGGAGTAAAAAATCTGCTGAGTAAAAGATAAAAAGTGACTCAGCAAGGCTGAAAATTAAAAGTGGGTGAACTACTTCCTCCCACCCCCAGAAACAAAACCCCACAACAAATCAAGGC